CTTTCTCGCCCCCCATCACGAATCTCCTGTTTTGGTTTATTAGTTAGGCCTCCATCCCCTGATCATTCTAAGTTTGCCAAATGAGAGAAAAGGAAAACTGGCACTTGAGCCAGAATACCTAAAAGCCCTGCCTGTTTAGTTTTCCCCCTTCAGAAGAGAGATGTGGGATGGAAGTGGGTGCCAGGCATGCTGGAAAAATCCAGCAGTATAGTGAGGACTCCGTTGAGAGAATTTGAGTAAACCATTAAGTGCAGGGGGTGGGGGCTAGCTTGACCTCTGGGGCAACTGAGAAACTGGGGATGACATGCAGACCTCCTGAGCCACTAAGTGGGGTCTGCTATCTGGTTGTGATGGAGAAGGCCTGGCTGTGGCTGCCACAGTGTGCCAACAACTTTGACCATGTGATCCTGGGTCATAGGGTTGCCAAATTTAGCAAACAAAGGTACAGGACGCTGTTAAATTTGAATTTCAGATGAACAACAAATAATGTTTAGTATATGTATGTTCCCTTACAGTCTCTGCAGGGATCTGGTGAGAATGGAGTGGGGAGATGATGGAGCGGGTAGGACTGAGCTCCCAAACAGTCTTGACCATTTCTCTGTTTGGTGTTAGGATGGTGGGATGCATGCAGATGCATCAGCCGGGCACACGGCCTTCTCTCTGTGAATGAGAAGGCAGAGCTTCTAGAAGATTCCAAATGCTCACACTGTCATTGATTTGGTTCTTGAATCTCTGACACCCTCTCTCCAGAGTAACACTGCCCAGAGGGAAGCCCATCTAGGGCAGGTTCAGTTTAACTGTGGGCTTTCACTCCTCAGTGCCCTTCTTTACCCTTCTCACCCCTTCTCTAAATGATAGCGACAGTGGCAGCCTACATGTGGACGCCATTTCACAGTTCACAAAGTGATCGGCCATCTCTCACTCTTCTGGATTCTCCTCATAAGTCTGAGAGGGACTGCTCATTGTCTCCTGTTTACGAGTGAGGAAACCAAGCCTCAGAGATTTGCCCGGTGCCCCACAGGCCGGCCCTCCATCCACTCAGGCATTTTTATAACAAACATCAGGGACTGTCTCTTGTGCGGCTTGTGTTAGGGGGCTGGGCACTGGGAACAGTGAGATCCAGTACCATCTAACTCCTGCCCTTGAGAGCTCCCATACCAGGGTGTGGGGGAGTGAAGAGTCAGGGTCAGGGGCCAGATGTGTGAAGAGGCAGGAACAACACAATCCCGCAGTGCTGGGCTTGATATACTGAGGACCCGGTCAGGGGTGGCTCAGCGGAGGGAGTGAGCACTCAGCCCCAGGCGGTCTTCCCCTCCAGCAGGCAGCTCTTCCTCTCTTTTCAGGCTGGCTGCAGTCTCCACTTGCTGCCTTGGAGCTGACCCCTGGAAGTGTCCTGGGGCCCCATGCACTTGGCCTACAGCCTTCCCCCAGCTAGGCCGAGGCGGCTTCTCGGTAGGGAAGGGAAGCGCAGATCCTTTCCCTGCTAGGCTCCCAGGGGCCTTGCAGAATGTTCCTATTCCTCTGCCCACCCCCAACTACAACCCTTTTGTCAAATACAATCTTTCGTGGAATTCCAATTGTGAACAGATGAAAAGAGTGCTGGTGCTCTGTTTTACAAGGTGGCTGGCGACTCCAGAGTCCTCTGCTCAGCCTTCCCTTCACTGCCCTGGCTGCAGTTGCCTGTGTACCAAGTCTCTGGAATCCCAGGGTTGGCAGAACACACTTTAGAAACCAGCAGCTGGCTTTACTTATCATCACAGGGTCTGCGGGACAAGCAGGGCCCTCTCACAAATGGTGGCTCAAACTAAGCTCACAATTTGCTCCACCCACCCTGCAAGTAGTGCTCTTCCTCCTGTGCTCCCCGTCCCCACTATCCACCCAGGGACTGAGTCAGAATCTTGGCCATCACCTGTGGCTCCTCTCTCCCTTCACCTCCACACCGGATCCCCAGGTGGGTCACCTCCTTGTCTTCCAGAGCCTTTTCTGTCCCTTGCCTTCCACCTGTTCTCAATTTTTATGGTGCTTTGTTCCCCAATAGGGGACAGTCTTAGAAAGTTTCCCTAACAGGAGCCTGGGTCCTAGTAAGGGGTGGGCTACCCCTACCCCAGACAATGAAATCAGTTTAATGGGGAAAGAGACCTGGGCCAGCAGGCCTTTCTGCACCAGCAAAAGTCCTCATGAGCCACCATGGGGACTTACGCTGTGAGCCACTTACTCCAGTGGAGGTGGAGCTGGTCCTGTAAGTAGGTGTTAGGAGAAAAAGAGCCTGTGTGTCAATCATAGGACCCGTGGGCCCTGACAGCCACCCTGTGCCTGAATGTTGTCCTCATGTGGCATTTGACACACATCTCCATTCCTGTTCAGAAGCCAACCTTGCTTCCTCAGTGCCCACAGGATTAAGGCCAAACTCCTTATCCCAGGGCCCAGACTCTAGACCGTGCTGCCCTTTTCAGGCTCACTTTCCACCAGCCCCTTCACAGAACCACCATTCCAGACGAGTGGGTGTGCTGCACCCAACACCCTCCACATATTTCCTGCAGGATTGGGTGGGACAAGGCTGCATGCCGGGAAGGTACCCAAGCCTTGGCGGGGCCTGTGGTGTGTGCTCACCAGTGGGACTCCCCTCTGGAGGTATCAAATGGGGCCTCTGCTTCAGAGGAGACATCACCCGTTATATACACTTCCCACCATCTCCCCTACCACCAGCCTGGCCTGACGCACCACCATCTCTCACAGCAGATTATTGCCATAGCTCCTCAAAGATCTCCTTTTTCCTGCCCCTTTAAAACTGTAAGTCAACACTGTCTTTTCTCCACTCAAAGCCCAGCAATGGCTCCCCATTTCCGTCAGAGTAAAATGCCGTGTCCTTACATCAGCCTACAAGCTCATCTGCTCAGGTCCTCTCACTCACGTGGCTCCGGTCTTCTTGATGCTCCTTGAAACCTGCCAGGCACTCTTTACCTTGGGGGCTGTGCCTGCAACATTCTCAGTCCAGACAGCCACGCAGCTCACTGGTGATTCTCCTTCAAGTCTTTGCTCAAATGCCACCTTCTCAGCATGGCCTTCCCTGACCACACCTTTTAAAATTATAAAGCCTGTGGCCCCCACTCAACGCCTTCCTGCTGTCCAGCACTCTGCTCAAACTTTTTCCCCCATAGCATAGCTTTTATCACTTTATACTATATATAATTAGTTAATTAATTTCCGTCATCTGTCTTTCCCCACCAGAATGTGAACTTCACAAAAGCATGATTTTTTTTTTTTTGCTTTGTTTTGCTCACTGATATAACCCAGCTGCCTAGAACAATGCCTGGCATATACTATGCCCTCAATAATTTTATGTTGCATTAAAAAACCCTTCCAGTCTTTCACTCTTCCATGCACTTGGCCCAAAGCACACACCTGGCTGGGCTTAGATGCTCTCAAACTCACACACCCCATTGCACACAGACACACACTTGGAGGTGCCGCCTACTGACATGGATATACAAACATATGTTGACAGCTAGATACATATTTACTTTTGTACATATATACTCTTATGCAAAAGCCACATGTGCACATGTACATGCATGGAGGAGTCCCATTTTAAAAACCTATTTTTTATTATGACTTTGAGGGAACTTTTTTGCAAAATTTTCTTATAAAAAATTCAAACCTACAGATAGTTGAAAGAATTGTACAGTGAACACCCACTGCCTACATCGCACAGATAGTATTTTGCTATATTTGATTTATCACACATCTATCCATCACTACATCCCTCTATCCACACATCAATGTGTTTTATATGAATTTCAATATAAATTGCAGACATCAGTACTCTTCACCCCTAAACACTTAAGCATTAATGGGAGTTCAATATTTGTTTACTCTTGAGGTAAAATTTACATGCAGCAAAATGCACAAATCTTATTCACTGGGTTTTTTTTTTTTTCCTTTTTGTCTTTTTTCGTGACCGGTAATGGGATCGCAACCCTCGGTGTCGCGCCCATACCGCGACCGGTAACGGGATCGCAACCCTCGGTGTCGCGCCTGCACCGTGCTCAGCCAGTGAGCAGGAACCGGTCTCTATATGGGATCCAAACCCTCGGCGGGAGCGCCGCCGCGCTCCCAAGCGCCGCACTCAACCAAGTGTGCCACCGGGCCGGCCCATTATTCACTGGGTTTTGACCAATGAGTTTTTGATCTGTGTAACTCAAAGTCTTATCAAGATAGAGAATACCACTGTCACCCCCCAAAAGTTCCATAATGCCCTTTCCTAGTCAATCCCTTAGCAGAGGCAACCACTGCTCTGATTTTTTCACTATAGATTAGTTTGCCTGTTCTAGAATTTCATGTACACAGAATAATATAATATGTACTAGCATTTCCTTATTCATTGAATAAAAAACTTATTCAGCACCTACTATATGCTCACAAACATACACGTGATGTCTCTTCACTTAGAGTAATGAGTTCTCCCAGACTAACCAAAAGGACAACGGTATTTCTAGGCCTGGCCTGTGACCTCCTCTCTTCTAACCTCCAATCACATTGTCATTGAGAGACCACAGACAGCTGGGCCTCAGAAACAGAAATGCAGGACCTATGTCCCATCTGAGCCCTGGGCTCCTTCCTGCCCGCCACTCCACCTCCAACTCCCGCAATCCAGACTGGCCCTGGAAGCCTCTTGTCAGCCCCACCCCACCCCCACTCGCTTCCCACACCAGGGCTTCATCCAAACTTCTCTATCCAGGTGCGCAAGGAGGTGTCACAATCTCAGCCCAGGCCATGCCCAAGTGGGTAAAAGTGCAGGTGAGTAGGCAGCTGGAAGGAACTGGACAAGCAGAGGTGGTACATGGCCCTGCAATCCTGGGTAGGGGTGGGGCAGGGAGAGGGGAGGCGGAGACTGGGCAGGGGCTGGAGAAGAAAGCATGAAGAGAGGAAACATTGCAGGCCCCTGAGCACTCAGGGCTGGGTAGCTGAACAGCACTTAACTGAAGCCACTGGGACCCTGAGCATAATGCTCTTGCCCTCCAAGAAGGACCTCAAGGCCGCCCTGGAGGTCTTTGCTGTTTTCCAGTGGGCCCTCAGTGTCTTCGTTATCGGTGAGTCTTCAGCCTTTGGTAGGGTGACCAACTGTCCTGGCTTGCCTGAGACTGAAGGATTTTAGAGTCACAGGACATTCAATGCTCAAACCAGGGTTGTCCCAGGCCAACCAGGACAGTTGGTCACTCTGGTCTCTGGCCTGACCCACCTGGACATGGTATTCGTGGGATCTGTGAGTGTCCATGTGGGCATGTGTGTGCGCATATGGGTGTGTGCCTTGCTGCAGAGATGTATGGCGAGCCCTCCTGGGTGTACATTGGGGTGTGGAGGGCATGTTCTGGGAATATGGGGATCAGTTCCACTGAGGCTAGCTAAGGAAAAGGGCTTAGCTGCAACTGCAGAGACTCCAGCCAACCATCAGTGAGAGATAGTTGGCTTGGTAGCAGAGGGAGACTCTGGAAAACTCTCACCCAGAGGAATTTAACCATTCGTCCATCCACCTTTCCTAACACCTACACCACAAAAACTTTGTGAAAGTTACTTACATGCTGGCCATTGTGTTCTAGTTGCTAAAACAAACCATTGCTGTGGGAGAGGGGACTGGAAGAAAATTCTCACCTGTCTAGTGGTTCAGGAGAGTACTGGCTGGAATCAGCAGCATGAATTAAATGGTCTTGTCAGCCATCTGGGAATAAAGAACACAGGAAGGCCCTGGGGGCCCAGAGCTGGCACAGGGGCATGCCAGTGAATAGGGAGAGTGGGCATTCCTTACCTCAGCTCACTACCACCCTAGAGGGGCTCAGAGACCTGCCTAGGGTGGGCACTAGGACCCCCCAACACTGAAAAGAGAAGTATTAACCTAGTAATGATGGCAATCAGAGTTGGAAGAGACCAGAGAAGGGAATTCATATGTGTTAGGTAGGTACTTACTCTGTACCAGATATTTTCACACCTATTATTTCATTTTAGCCTCATGCCAGCATTATGAGATAAAAGCTATTATTATGCATAATAATTCTTACTAATAGCTACATGCACATAATGATAGCTAACACTCACATAATATTAGCTAACTTTTATTGCACCCTTTTTTTCATGCCAGGCACTGTTCTAAGTGCCGTATGTAGCTCATAATCTCCATTGTACAGATGGGGAAGCTGAGGTCCATGTAGTAGAAGATGTCACTGAGCTGGGAAATGGAGGAACTGGGTTGGACATTGAACTCACCAGGGCTTGAGTCTAGTTTATGAGTTCCTTTCTTTGCTTCCTGCATCTGGTCACTCACTGCTGATTGGGAGGAACACAGTAGGCCAGAAAGGAAGGAGGAAACCAGGCCCTCTGCATATGTGAAAGTTCCTGATTGAAGGTGAAAAAGGCCAGCTCAGAATGTCCTCCTACTAAAGACAGGATCCCCAGCTGGGCCTGTGTTTTCTCCCCACCATGGGGCACAGGCCACTGGGCACTCTTCGGTAACAGCTAGTTCCCCATCTGCATGGAGGGGCAGCTATCCTCACTCTCATCCCTCCAGAGCTGTCACTCCTCTCATCCCTCTGACTGCTGCTAAAGAGCGTCTGAGTTGAATCCGCAGGTAAAGAACTGAAGAAGAGCAGTGTCCCTGTCTGGGCTGGGGTTTCTTCCACTTGGTTAACAAATTCGGCTTTCTTCTTTGGCCTTGGCTCCAGGGTTCTCAGAAACTTGAGTCAGTGGCCTTGTGGCATCTGCAACCAATTCCTGCCTGTACATCCTGCCCTGATCCATAAGCTTTAGGACATCAGGTCGTGTTCTATTGCCTTTCTTGAGTTCTTGTCATCCCCACAGACTTGGCTTGTTAAAATCCTCTCCCTTCCCCACACTGCAACTGGATTCCCACAAGAGAGAAGAGCCTCCAAGGCCCAGGAGCTGACACTGCACTGGAGGAGAATGACCAATTATTGAAGGCCACCCTGGCCAGGTACCGTGAAGGGGGCTGGAGCCTGTAGGCTGCTATGTCTCCTTCCTCAATCCAGTCTCCAATCCCAATCTTCATAGGCAACCACTGTTAACAGTTTTTTGTGCATATAGCCAGAAATGATGAATTTTCTGTACACACATAGATATACCCACATGCACGTGCACGTGCACACACACACACACACCTACCTATGTTCACATTCCAGCTCTACTACTATCTGTGCAACCTGTAGCAAGTTAGTTATCCTCTCTGAGTCTTGTTTTCCTCATTTGCAAAATGGGTATATTTAGGGTATAATTAATCAGGATAGTCTAGGTATGCTGTGATAACACATTAACCCTGAAATCTCAGTGGCTTAACCCAGCAAGTGTTTATTTCTTGTTCATGTGAAATGCCTAACACAAGTTGGTGTGAGTCTCTGCTCACTGTGGACACTAATGTTCAGGCTGATGGAGTCACCACCAAATTGTGATGCTGTAAGATGTGGCTTCAGGGATTACTACAGCGTGGGAAGGAAAGTGACTGCAGAACTCATACGCAGTCCTTACTACCTCCGGCCAGAAATGATGGCTAAACAACAATTTTTGAACTTCCTTAATTATGAGTGAGCTTGAGCATCTTTTTATATATTTATCAGCAATTAGTGTTTCTTTTCCTGTTAACTGCCCATTCATAACCTTTACTAATTGTTTTATTGAATTGAGTTGACTCTTGAAGGACAGATAGGAAATAGGTGAAGAAGGGAAGAGTGTGGAAGAGAGTGGGATGGGGGAGAGCATAATGCATTCGCGGAACTTTCCGTGGCTAAGTGGGATGGGAGGGCGGCGAGAGACACAGAACTGGTGCTTGATACACGTTTATGCAATGGACGAGTGAATGAATGAGAGAGGGAAGAAAGGAGACTGGAGAAGCAGACAGGGAATAGATTGTGTAGGGTATTGTAAACCATGGAAAGGAATTTGGACTTTTTCCTGAGGGCCGTGGTAGGGTTTGGTGCAGGATGATGGCATGACATTTATGTTTTTGAGAGATCACAACAGCTCTGTATAGCAAATTGATTCTAGGAAGATAGGAGTGGAAGTGGTGATGCCAGGTAGGAGCCTGTTGCAATCATCGAGGTGAGAGATGGTGATGATGTGGATCAGGCCAGTAGTGATGAGGATGGAGAGAAGAGGAGGGATTCAAGAAATTAGAGTAGAATTAATAGGACTTGATGATCAGAAGATGTGGGTGAGAGTAAGGGAAGAAGCAAGATTGAGGGTTCGAGTTCCAGTGTGAGATGGCAGAGGGGCCAGTGGAACAGAGAAGGGTTAAGGAGGAGAGTGGCTGAAAGGGGGATGAGTACAGGGAGAAAACTGTCCCAGGGAGCTCTTAACTAGAGTTTCACTCTTGGGTGTACAAAGACGTAGTACGGGGCAAGCAGAAGAGCTCTAGGCCCTGGTGGCAGGAGACGTGGGTTCCTGGACTCATACCTCCCTCACTAGCTCACATGGGACAGATGGGGAAAATGTTCCCTTAATGCCCTCCCAGCTCTTCACTCTAGCAGTGGAATCATATCCATTTGGACCCTAAAGCCTTGAGAGAAGACCCTCACAGTTAAGTCTATGAGGAAGATAGGGAAGATATTGGTATTTTAATCCCCATTTTGCAGATGAGGAACTGAGGTTCAGTGATGTCTTTGATCACACACGTAGTAAGTGGCAGATCCAGTATTCATCCCATCACAGAGCCCTCTGCCTGAGGCCACACTCACAAGATGACCCCAGCACTGCCTGAGTTTGAGGAAAGACTAAGGGAAACTGAGAGGTGTCTTCTGGACAAGACCCAGGACTCTCTTTAATTCTCAAAGAAGTCAGTAGTTTTATACGGCACATATTAACAGACCGAAACTGCTGACCTTGCTCCACCCTTAGCTCTGTTCCCCAGAGGCATTTTCAACTTCGTCAGCTCTTTCTTCTGGTATTTAATTCCATATTTCTAAATTGTACTATTTAGAATTTCTAGATATTACTATTTTCTGATGTAACAATTTCAGACATTGTCTATTGACATCCTAATATGGAAGATGAGAATCTGGTTCTATACACTATTGCTAGAACTTCCTTTTCCCCCAACCTCCCCAAATTGTTATAGCACAAGTTTTGGTTAAATACCTGACTATGACTAGGAAATATAATTCACAATTGAGCTATTTAGTGTGCCAAGATGACATTTCCTTTCTTGTGCAACTTCTTGCTTTCTCTGGAGTTAATAGTTACCTCAATTTAAATTTCTTTTATCTATTAGATATCTATTAGTTATCACCAATTCATCCCCATACTTTCCACAGACAGGTTAATCTCTCAATATGTACAAACACATCAGGAATCTAGAAGTCATTTCCTTGAGGACATTGCCGGAGACTAGTATCTTTCTGTTACAATGTGGCCTCATGCATAGCTGTCACCTCCAGGGCACAATTTAAGAAGTTGCTCACTCTCAGAGCTGTGCAAGTATTGGGCCAGTGCTTGCACAACCCAGAGGGTGAGCGTCTCCTTCAATTTTGGGACCTAGGCACCTTGCTCACCTCTCCCTAGCCCTCGCCTTGCTCACTTTCCTTCTTTGTTGGATCATTTCCCCCCTGGATTCCATGCCTTCTGGTTTCTTGGTCTGCTCGCTCATTTTGGTGAAGCACATCCTCTGGTAGTTTTCTGAGAAAGGGATATGGGAGACAAATAATCTGAGACTGCATGAACCTGAAATCGTCTTTATTCTACCTTCATACTTGATTAATAATTTAACTCCATATGGAATCTCTTAGCTGTGTCTAGTGTTAGGTATTTGAGTCTAGGGCCTCTTTGATTCCGTTTTTCAGAGCAGAATCCTCCCATCATCCAATTGTGTCATGAAGGGAGGGGGGTAGGGTACCTGGGCTTCTAACTAATTTCTTGGCCCACTTTCAACCACCCTCCAGTTTTTTAACTCTGTTTCTTATCCCTGCCTTTTGTGACACCTGGTGCCCCCAAATTTTGAGTCTTTCCTAGATTCTCCAGTGCAAACAGTCTTGCAGGCATCCCCCTTGCAGGTAGCTAGATTTCAGCTGTCTTTCTTCTAAGTCAGTTACACCCTCCTCCATCTACTTTCCAGCATGCAGATGTCTTGCTGATATCTCTCATCCACTGTAGGCACCTCTCCAACTCTTTTTTCTCCTTCTGGATCTATATTTTAAAAAATTTTCATAGTAATTTTCATGGGGCTACAGCAAGAAGTCAAGACAACAACTTGTGGTCAGTCTGCTATGTTCAGTTAGAAATGTTTTCTAACCTTTATTTTGACCCAATTTCCCACACACTCTTATTCACAGCTGTCTTAAAAACTGAGTCCAGCGATAACTTGAAGTCAGTGGGGCTCCCTATGACTCATCTCCAGTAGCTCCTTCGTAACCACCCTAACCGACAGTGTTCCTGTTTTATCGGAGCTTAACATGGCCCAGTACCTTATTCTCTTCCAGCTTGTATTTTCCTTCCTTTTTTGTTTGCCATCTTGTGTTCTCCCGACCTGGCTGAAGGTGGGTCTTTGCTTTCCCTCCACTGGTGCCTCACAGAGAAGACATGAAGAAGAAAATGTGAGTTGCAAGAAAACTGTTCCAGGACTCCTGGCCTCTGATGGCCCACCACTGGCTCCCTGCCATTGAATGCACTGCAGCCAGAGTCCAGCGCAGTGCTGGAGCAGGTCCCGGGGAGCAGAGGGCTTACTGCGTGAGACACGGCTGAGGAGGATAACACCTTGCCGTCTAGACCCAAATCAGGTTCCCAAGGCCAGAGAGGAGAGGGGGCTGGGGTGCGGGCATGCGAGCTGTGTGCTAGGGGTGAGGGAGCAAGAGCGTTGAGTGGCCATGAGTGAGAATGTGTGTGACCTTGGGGTGCAGAAGACACTGGAGGGAGGGTAAGTGTGAGGGACTGTTCACAATTCATTAACTCCGGGCTGGGTTCCCTCCAGCAACCACCGTGATCCTTGTCAACCTCTACCTGGTAGTGTTTACATCATACTGGCCTGTCACTGTGCTCATTCTCACCTGGCTGGCTTTTGACTGGAAGACCCCTGAGCGAGGTAAGGGCCTTACTGGGGCTGTGTTGGCACGTTACATGCTCTTTCCTCTTCTCCTTATAATCCTGAGAGGCTCTGGCCAATTCCCAGGCAGACCTATAGCTTGTCCCTCCCTGGGCTAGTGAAGCTGAGGGGAGGTGTCATTTTAAGGTGACAGAGAAACCCAGATCAGAACTGGAGTGGGTTAGGGGAGGGAAAGCTAGTGAAGCAGAAGCTAGGCCTGTCCCAAATTGACTCCGATGTGCCCACCCTGGTTGTCGCTCAAGATGTCAGGAAACAGCAGGGGATCAGAGCACTGTGTGGCAGGCCCAGAAGGGCTTGGAAGAGGACAGCAGGGGTGGGCAAAGTTCGGCTGCATTGCCTCTACTTTCAGGCGGCCGCCGGTTTACCTGTGTGAGGCAATGGTGCCTGTGGAGACACTACTGCAATTACTTTCCCCTCAAGGTGAGTAGCCCTGGATCCCCACTCTGGCCCCAAGCCCGGCCCCAACTCCAATGCCAGCAGATGGGTCAGGGTGGGGGTGGAGGGCACCATCCACATTGAGGTCTGTGACAGCGACACCCTCTGGAGCTGTACATTGCCCAACCAGCAGCCCTTTCCCTTCCAGGTCTCTGGCCAAAAGGAGTCCTCTTCCCTGACTATAGCCCTCCTGACTCCACTTTCCTCCACAGCTTTTGAAGACTCAAGATATCTCCCCCAGTCACAACTACATCCTTGTCTGCCACCCTCATGGGGTCTTGTCCCATTCATGGTTTGGCCACTTTTCCACGGAGACTTCAGGCTTCTCCAAGATCTTTCCTGGCATTACCCCTTATATGCTTACACTGGGAGCCTTTTTCTGGGTGCCTTTCCTCAGAGAATACGTAATGTCCACAGGTAAGTTGGTTCCTAGGACATAAAGCCAAAGAAAAAATGGCTCCTCAAGGGAGAGATGTGGGGGTGTAGGTGAGCAAGGCCGGCTCTGTGATGCCCTCTGCTCTTCGCCAGCTACCAGGGCTCGGCTGCCCAGTGTGAGCTCCTTGCTCTTCCCCTCCTTGAAGAGGAAGGGAGGAAAGTTAGGGGGTTGGGAAGTGTCCCATGACCTCTTGGCTTTTTCTGCCCACCAGGGACCTGCTCTGTGAGCCAGTCCTCCATGGACTTTCTGCTCACGCATAAAGGCACAGGCAACATGCTGGTCGTGGTGGTGGGCGGCCTGGCCGAGTGCAGATATAGCCTGCCCGGCTCTTACACGCTGGTGCTGAAGAACCGGTCCGGCTTTGTGCGCATGGCCCTGCGGCACGGGTGAGGACAGCCCCGGTCCGGGCTGTGGGGAGGGGACCCAAAAGCCCAGTAGGTAAGGAGGAAGCGGTTTTGAGGAAGTGGTATCTAAAGAGGGAGGAGGAAGTATACAATACATTGTTATTAACTATAGTCATCGTAAATATATACAATTTTTATTTGTCAATTAAAAATAATTAAAAGAGAAAAGAGGGAGGAGGAAAGCCACCTCTGGGTTGGAGTAGAGCTGGGGTCAGGTCCTGGAGGCATTTCTGCTTATGTAGAAAGGGTAAAAGGCCAGCCCTGAGCCTGTTCCCCGTCACACTAGCCTCTGTCAAAGGGAACAGCTGCAACCCCATGTCAGAGAGAGCCAAGCTCAGCCATGCGGGTTAAAGGGGAGAAAGTCAGATGGAATGGCCCTTGGATCTTACCTTCCAGTGTTTCAGACCTGGGCGTTCATAGGAGGGGCCGGGCTGGCTTCTTTTAGCTTGCTGCTGCTTTGTCTCCACAGGCAGCCTGGACCTAGGCACAGCTGGACTGGGGTCTGGGGAACCTACAGGCAGACCCAGGGACCACTGGCGGTCAGCATGGCTGGCTTTCAGAAGGGTCCCTGCCTTTCTGGGCATCAAAGGACATGCTTTTCCTCTGCAGGGTGGCTCTAATCCCTGTCTATGCCTTTGGGGAAACGGACCTCTACGATCAGCACATTTTCACTCCTGGGGGCTTGGTCAACCGCTTCCAGAAGTGGTTCCAGAGGATGGTACACATCTACCCTTGTGCTTTCTATGGGCGCGGCTTCATCAAGAACTCCTGGGGCCTTCTGCCCTATGCTCATCCTGTAACCACCATTGGTGAGTGGGCCTTGCTGCCCTCCGTCTACGATCCAGGATTCAGTGCTAAGGCTGGACATCAGTGCTGGCTGTGCTGAGTCAGGGGGGCTGGCTAGGAAGAGTGGCGGGTTAGGGGTGAGGATGGGGAGAACCTGGGCTTGAGGACGGGGGCCCATTCTGAGGAGTGAACTATTCTGATGCTTTTCCCTTTTCCTTCTCTGTCTCTCTTGGCAGTTGGAGAGCCTCTACCAGTGCCCAAGATTGAGAACCCAAGCCAGGAGACTGTGGCTAAATACCATGCACTCTACATTGATGCCCTACGCAAACTATTTGACCAGCATAAGACCAAGTTTGGCATCTCAGAGACCCAGGAGCTGGTGATAGTTTGACAGACATCCCTAGCAGCCTCTCAGCCTGGCTGAGAGGAGGACGAAAAACAGGAGGATGAAAGTCACCTATGGGGCTCCAGCTCCTGATTTGACCAGTCCTCATTATGGGGAGGGGCTGTCCATTTGGTTGTTTTCTGCACCCCTCTTCCCACTTTATCTCTTTCTCCTTCCACCTCTTTGCCTTTTCCTGGGGCTACAGGGGAGACAGCCCCAAGAGGCAGGGAAGACCCAAGGGGAGAGGTGCCCCGAAGGCTCCCTCATGGCTCACTCACACCAGCACCGAAGAAAAAAATGGACAGAATAAAAAGCCCATCTTCTGATACTGTGTGTGCCCCAGCTAGTCTGTTTTGAAGGCTCTAGGAGCCCTGTGCATGTCTTTCCTTCTCTAGCTCTCAAACAGCCCCATCTCCTGGCATCGAGAATCCTGTAGTTCTGGATGCCTTGGGAGCCTGCTGGGATTTGGTTCCAGGCCCCCACACCTTCAAATCATGTGATTTCGGGGCAGTCACCTCTGAGCCTCAGTTTCCTCATCTGTAAAATGGGACTAATAATCCCTCTCCTGCTTACTCAAAGGCATTTGGGAAGATCAAATGATATTGGATGTGACTGAAATTTGTGAACCAGACAGCTACACAAAATTATTCTCCTCCAACCATTTTCTTCACTTCCTGTCCCTGAGCAAACAATTCCCTAAATTTCATGGCATCTCAGTTTTTTAAAAAGTTTACAGTGCAAGATTTGGTGCTGAAAGTTTAAGTAATTGATATCCCCTAGTCCACACTCAGTTTCTGCCTCATAAAGCTGTAATAGGATGGATCAGGCTCAGGCCTAATTTCCCTTGCCTTCTCCCTGCAACTTGCCTGTACTTGCCTGGCCCTATAACTCTGCCCTCTGCTTGAGAGTCAGCCAACCTGCTCAGGATGCAAGAGAGATGGCTGACTTACATAAAGCCAGGCCTGAAGAACTCTTCTTTTGAATGGCAAGTCTTTCAGATTCTTGGCCCAGTGGTTGCTGCAATGACAGGTTACACAATTTGGCCCACAGCCCCCTTGTCCCATCCCTCTTAGGTGGATGCCATTTGGCCCAGTGACTTACCTGCATCACGTTTGTCAGTTTGGTCTAGAACATCCCGCGTATTTACTACAGTGTAATGTGCTGCCTCTGCCCTGGGAGCCTGCCTCATGTGATGGTTTGAACACAGGGGGGAAAGACATGCTTCCACTTTTCTGCTGTCTCTATTACTTCTTGTGCCAGAGATTACATTTTCCCTGAGCTCCCGTAAAGTGTTTTAAAAGTGTCCAGGCTTCCCGTGACTGCTTTCCTTTGAAAAAACAAAACAAAAAACTCTAAGGCAGCCAGAGAACCAGCCTGGGCTTCAGCACCCCAGCCCATGCAAACCTGGCCATTGCAGATTTGTCATGGGCTACTGTGTGCATAGTGCTGCTTAAGTGCCACATTCTCCACCTATACAATGGGGGCAAAGGCTGCTGGGGTTGTGAAAAGTCCCTAGAACTCTCTGGAACTGCTATCTGTTCCTCTTCCCATGAGCCTTTTCCTTATTACAGCCTCTGTAGGCCTTCTCCATGCAAAGAGCTTGGGGCCAAATGGTGGAGGCAACATGGCAGAGTGGAACGTGTACTGCACTGAGAATCTGACCAGAATGACACATTCACTAGTTGGGTGACCTTGGGTGAGCTACTTAAATTCCTTGAGCGTTGCTCTCCTCAACTGCAAAATGGGATGATACCTTAGTGAGGAGCTAGAGACTGGATCTACCCAAGTTGTTTTGGGCCCAGGCCTGAAATATCTGTTATACATGTCACAGTCTCAAGCTGTGTGTTCCTGCCCCAGGACAATGTTCCTTTTGGCAGGACATCTAGCCTACCGGACATGTGGTTACAGGAGAAGATCTAAGGTGCTGGGGATGGGAACGTGTGTGGTCTGGGACACAGAGAGGATGTGAGATGTTCTAACAGGAAATTCAGACTTTCCTTCTGTTGTCTCCTCTGAAATAGGTGCCTTGGTCCTTTCCCTAGCTCATGTGGGAAGTGCTCAAGCCAATTTCAAGAACAAGGGAAAAAGCGCTTTATTTGCAAAGAATAAACCATTACTTTACACAAACTTACATCCCAGTTTATATACATTATATATAGTTTATATACACAGTATCTCACACTGAATGCTGACCTCCCAAAGCAGCACTGGGCCTGCTCCAGGCCATTTTCACAACAAACCCTGGCCACCCACTCATTCCAGCTGGAAACTTTGAATAAAGAAATGACACACCCCAACCCCTACTGGAGAGAGCCGTGAAATGGATTAAAATAAAAAAATCAGTTTCCTTCTTTCTGCTTATATGCCCTAGGGAAGTCTTCAGGCAGGGATGGGGCCTGAGGCAACACTAGGGTAGGCTAAGCACTGGGCCAGTCTCGAGCCTTCCAGTACAGAGGCAGGAACTGGGAGAATGCCTCGGTGGAAGAGTTCTGATGAAGGCTGTAGATACATACTCTACTTGCCTGGGGCTCCTGAAGAGGGCCAAGCACTTCTAGCCTTGAGTCTGTGGGTGGAAGAAAGAAGGGGCCATGTGGGACAGGGACTGCTCTACTCCCTCACTCTGCTGAGGCTGGAGGTTGGGGCTTGCTTACCACTTTGCGCAGGTAGGTCACCTTCTCTCTCTGGGCTTTAGTTTCCACATGGGTAACATGAGGTGGAATGTGGGTTGGGCTAGATTCCCTCTAAGGACCGTTTTAGCTCTACATTTCTCTGAATCTATTTGCATCCACCAGAAGTTACATGAAACACATGCACTCACACGTGGATCGAGGTCTTTGTTTACCTCCAGGGTTCCCAGCCCTCTCCTGTTGAGCAAAAGAAATTTGGCTCAGGATGGATGAAGGGGGAAATAAGGCAAATACTATAGTTTCCAGGTAACCAGTAGTTGAGCAGCCTCTGACAGCTGCCATTTGTGCCAGCTTGGCTGTTGAAGCCCAAGCAGCTGGAAGAGGCCCCTGTCATGCACTCTCATCCCATTCTCCATGCTAGCCTTGGCCCTCTGGTAAACTCACATCAGCATAATTCAAAACCGTAAATCTATTTCCACATTCTCCTATCAGTAAATTGTTTCACCATTTTGTCAATGACTTTGCCGCAACAGAGCTCCCCAGCTACTTATTGCTTCCCTCATCATCCCTCTCCCTCTAGGGTTCCTTTCGAGGGTTCAGAATGAATAACAGCTTTGGTGGGATTCCAATTTCCCCTATAATCCCCTCCCTCCATGGCTAGAAAATAGTATAGGTGTCCGAATGTCCTTTGGGGCACAGGAAGACTTTTCTCCTCTCTCCTCACAAACTTTTGGCTTTAGAACTAATCCTTTCTTGGGTCTTCCCTCCATCCCCGAGAGCCCCTGGTAGTTTCAAGGTCTCTGTGGTATGGTAGAAACAGAGAAGGAGCCACACTTAGTAGCTATGGGAAATGGGCTGGCTCCTGGAAGCTGTGTGCAGGGTAAGGAAAGGTGGACCTTGCCCACAGTAGGGCTCCACACATGATGGTCGGTTGGCTCATTGGATGGGTCAAAGAACATGAGGGCCACCAGCTCTGTGGGTCCTGGAGACCTGCTGCTTGGACATGGTGTCAAGAAGATTCTTCTGAACACAGGAAACCTAAGGCTGATGGCCGTTTCCCAAAGAAATGTCTGATTCTTTTGCCACAGAGCCCTGGGCAGCCAAGAGAACAGGCATTACCATCAAGGAATGAAAATGGGCATCTCTAGGTTTCTCCCTGGGACCATCAAGGATTTCAGGTCCATATTACCACTTTTACTGGTTCTCTCTAGACCCCAAATTCCACACAGTGCTGTGCTGTAATAGAGTAACTTTGGAGTCAGACCTGGCTGAAGCCCAAGGTCTGTGACTTAAACTGGGTGAGATCTTGGTCAAAGCACTTACCCTCTCTGAGCCTCGCCTAAACAATGGCATTTGTAAAATTATCTGCCCTGCCTTCTTCAAAGGAGATAATTTCCAAGTACTTTCCCAGTTTTAAGGAGAGGTTCTCATGGGTTCCTGCTATAACCGTTGATTGTCCAAGGCACTTTATAGGAGTTGGGGCCAGATACACGCCTAAAATTTGCTTCACCTTGGGTTGCAAGGCTGTCATTGGCAACCAGACAATGGAGGCCTAGCCCACCACCTCTTGCCCCGACCCTTGAAGGGCCTAGCAGTGTGGCTGCTAAGAGATGGAAGACACAGCTGAGAAATTAGTACCTGTTGTTCTTGGTGGATCTCAGCTGCCTGAAGGGACTTATTCTGTATCTCCTCACAAGGAAGCACATTTCAGGAGAAAGAGGAGCGGACTGTTCAAGGCTGGTCCTATCACCTAGAAATGAGGCTGGGCCCAGGCAGTTAGAAATAAGGTCCTTGAATGGTTCTACCATATGATCTGGTGGGAAGCTTGGGATTGGGGGAAGGTGACTCGGACCTGAACTAGGGGGCAGAGCCCTGCCCAATGCCTAGACACTGGCTCCTCCTGAGCCTGGCTTCAGGGGAGGAGCACAGGCATCTGTGGTGACTATGCAATGTCGTGGCTTTCTGCAGCCAGAGTGAAGAAGGACTGTGTCATTAGGGTATCAGCTGCTGTCCCTTCAGATAAGGCCTGGCCTAATGACCACCTGGGTGGCAGCACACTTGACAAAACCCCGCTGTTCTAATCCCATCTCTTGCCCTTTCTAGGCCAGGTTGAAAAGCTCTACCTTGCTGATGCCCAGGGCAGTCTAGGGTTTGGGAATTCAGAAGGCTATCACGGTGGCTGCCTGTTAAAAGAGTGACAAATATTAGAACTTGAATGAAGGTTATCCAGTACAACTCCTTGTCCCCAGACACAATTCAATAGGATTGGATGAATAATATTTGTATTGCTTAATAAATGGAAAATTTTCTTTGTGTCCAGGTAAGCTAAAGAATACTGCAGACTCACACGAACACAGGTCCCGGGTTTGGCACCTGTCTCAGACAGAGGTAGGCTCTGTGGAGAGAGGAGAGGAGTTCTAGTCAGGCTGGGAGGGAGGGTAATTGGGAAGGGACCCCAGGGAGTTTTCTGAGTGTGGAGCACAGCTGTAAACGAAGTGAGAGACATGTGGCCCTAAGCACAGATTCAGGTTCTTAATCCAGGCAGGTTTGTGGTCATTCTCTGCAATTGTTTCAAGGCAGAGCAAACCTCCCATCTCCAAAGCCCAGCAAGCTGCCACATGGCTCTCAGCCTGAGTGGGAAGAGTTCTCCAAGCCTCTTTCAGGCCACAGTGTGGAGCAGCAAGAACACTTCCAGTGGTGAGCATGCCTGCTTGGCAGGTTTCTCCCCTGGCCGCTGCCACAAGCACCTGCCTTTTTCCTTCCTGGCTCTCTCCTTAGGCTGCAACGTTTCCTTTCCACTCTACCCTGTCCCCACCCCCACCCGAGAGAGGAGCAACAGCCCCCTTGGGGTCAGATGTTCACCCCCAAAGTCTGGAGTGCACCTTGGCTTTCTCTAGCCTGCTGCCATGGATCCTCTTTTCAGTGCAATGAATGATAAATCTGACAACAGGGACTTCAGGGTTGAAGAGTCACACCATAAGCCAGTCAACATGGAACCAAAGAAGTTTCTGCTTCAGGTAAACCCTGGGGCTCCATCAACTGTCCTATTAGCTCAACATCATTCTGGAAAGTCAAGCAGGCTTTGTCATCCTGGAGTCACTGAATAAATAGCACTGGGGCATTTCTCTTTGTGGCTGCAATATCAATATACCTCACTCCACAGCAGCACTTAGAGGTTCCGGGAGTCCTGGCTCCCAAACCTGGGGCAGGGGCATAGGCAGGGGCAAACTGGAGGGAATCTAGGATGCAGGGGCTTCGCCCAGCCTGATGGCCCCAAAGAAGGTGGTGTGCTTGCTCATATTGATAGAGATGTCGGCGTGCACCATCTTCACAGCGATCTTCTGCCGGGCCTTGAGGAGGCAGACGCCCGCAGTATAGCAAGTGTTGTAGTTGGTCTTGCCCGTCTCGATGCTGCGGGTGCACTGCAGGAAGGGCTTCTCGTCTACCACCACCTCATAGCTGGCAAAGTCAGTGAAGTTGATGTAGTATACCTAGGCGAGAGGCAATAAGAAGGGATTGGGGAAGAGAGGAAAGAGAGGGTGGAGGCCCTCCCCTGTGGTGGATAAACAGAACCTTCTCAGATAAGCTGCCAGTATACCTTGTGGAGGGGACAGTGCCACCTGAAGGCATGCTAGGTGGCCAACAGGAATGGCAGGGTGACAGGCTTGTATGCTGTCCTTCCCCTACTCCATGGGGCTCAGGTGGCTGAGCAAACCTTTCTTACATCAGAACACCTGTCATAAACTCTGTGAGGGCAAGAACCATGCCTTACTCCCTTCTTCACCCCCCACCTCCATCCCAGCCCTGGCACAAAGCACAGTGCTCTGCACACATTATGTGCTCAATCAGTACTATAGACACAAAGTAACTTCCAATTTCAAGGCCCAAGGACTATTTGTGGGTAAACTTAGAAGTCACTGATTCCCCAGAGGGGTCACAGGAACACCTTGCCAATTCTTCAGCTTTTTAACAGAAGCTCACTCAGCTTGCAGCACCCCTCCCCTGCGGCTGAACTTCTCTGATCCACAGTGCCTCTTGGCCTTCTTGTTTGGTGATTGAGGAAACAGACCCACTGAGATGGAGAGCTATCCATCACTAATAACATAAAGAATTTGGAAGGGCAAAACCCAGGCCCCTAACTTCACTTTGTGTTCAGAAAGATCACTAACCTATGCTCAATGGCCTGGCGTCATGTGGATTTTCCCAGCCTGCACGGGCCACTCCCAATTCTCTCATAGGCCCAGAAAAATTAATTTTTCTCATCGTTCACTACCCTTACCCATCATACCCCACCACCACCAAATGGAGCTTAGTTCACAGGACATAGAAATTATACTCATGTGCCCCATGGGAGTGGGACCCTCAACCACTAAGTCACTTTATGAAATATCGCTCTTTCTGTGTCAGCTCTTCAGGTGGGAACAGTGTATTCAGGTGCCATATCATCTCTTGGGTCAGAACCATCCTATGCCAGGATGCTCAGTGTGCCTAGCAAATGCTTGGTAACCCACCTTGCCTGGCCACTGTCCTGTGAGACCCTTCTGTTGGCTCCATAGTCCTTCTATCCATCTGCCTGCTTGCCACCCACCCTACAGAAGCCCCAAACTCAAAGCTCATCTATCTCTAGCTCTGAGGAGCCACCCCAGTGGAGGCAAACAATGGGGGATGGAAGTAGATGGGCACTGGCAAACCTGGGGAGTTGTCCAGGGCAGGAAAAGGACAAAAGCAGAGGGAGAAAGGGCTGGGAGAATGACAGCAGGAAGGAGGAAAGAATTTTAGAGAGACAGAAAGAAACAAACGGGAGAAAGAGGAAGGAAAGATAGTCAGAAATCTTTTTGAGGTGGAGAGAAAGTCCACAGGAGCACTGTTCATTATAATGCCCAAGCTAGCAGTATTGGGGGAAGGGGTTCTCAGCAGCTCTGGAATTGACTTTCACAGAATATGCTGAGACCAAGTTCAAGTTTGGCAGTAGAACCAAACAGCTCAGAGGGGAAACAAGGGCCTGGGGAGGGAATCAGATAGCAGTGTACAGGAGGCGCGTCTTTTCACAGGTTTTCATTGATATCTGGCTAGGGGAAAAAAACCCCACAACCATCTGGCTAGGGGTTGGGGTGGGGCTCTCTTTCCTCCTTTCAACTCCCTCCCAGGTGCTGTCTCCCACCCCCCCTCATCTGCCAAAGCAGGAAGTTAGCCATTGGCTGGTCTTGGCTGGCTCCACAGTGCCCCCGTGTGGCCTGCACCGAATCTGCATTCTGGATATAAGAAGAGTTAGGCCTAAGACCGTACTCACTTCTACCTGACTATAGATGAAGTAGGTGCCGTCCACCAGTACCTCCAGCTCCCCGCTGCGGGGGTGCAGCTTAAACACCTTGGGGTTCATAGTGATGCGGGACCAGTCATTGAGCACTCCACCTGAAAGATCTCAGTATGAGAGAAGGGCAGTCACTCAGTACATGTCAGAATAATCTGGGCAATAGAAACAAGAAATACCAAGCAGTACACAACCCCTACCCCTGTCCCAATTCAACCAGGATAGCCCAGAAGGCCAAGCTTTAAGAAGAGCATTTGGAAGCAGACAAGGTGTTCTGTTTGAAAAGCGGCTGCCAGGCCTGTCTCAGGGCTCCTGGATTCTGCCTGTTTGTCTTTATCCCTTCTTTCCTGACCACTCCATCTGGAAGGATCTTTAACCAACACCTTCTAGCTGGAATTTGGGGGGGGGGGTCGGTTAAGAGAGTGGGCACACTGCCCTATTTTCTTTGCTGTTATGGGGCCTGCACAGGCAAAATTCAGACACTGAGTGGCAGGCTAGGTCTTATTATTCAATTTTACTTTCCCCGCCATAGCTCCTAAATCCCTTTCCTGTCTCATAGGTTCATATGCTTTCTCCTTCTTCTTAAGAAATTCCTTTTTTATGGCTCCTCCACACCCACTCCTTTCTGGAAAGCCTCCCTGGACCCCTAGGAAACCACTCAGCTCAATGAGCTGTCTATCTGGAGAACTTTAGGGATCAGGGGTGATTCAGACTCCGTGGCAGCAGGAACTAGTGACCTCCCCAGTTCCAAGGCCCCATAGGTGAGAGGGATCTTTATGAGAGTGAGGGATAGACTTCCAGGCTGCCCTGGAACCAGCCAGGAGGATAGGGGAGGGTGCCTTGAAGCTGAGGCACCCTTGGCAAAGCATCAATCTCCTATCCTCATTTCAGTTAGGGGTGAACAGTGGGAGCCAACATGTGAGGGTGGAGGAAAAACATCTTTCTCTCCTGCAGAAAGAGGGATGCTCCTTCCCACCACAAGAGGAGGGAGTTTAAGCCCATCATGCTTTTCCCCCTCTAAGCCATCTGTTCTTCACCCAAAAAATTACGTTTTGAATATCCATCCTTGGCCAGTCTCAGGAGTCCTGCCTTTTTGAGGTGTGAGGAAGCAGGCCTTCTGGAGAATGTGACCATATTTCCTCGAGCTGATAAGCAGATGAAATAGGAGTTAGGAGGAGATGCCTTGGCTCTGTCCCTTCAATGGACTGCTCTGCACGACATCCTCCCATCCCTGACCCCATCACTGCTTCTGATGGAACTAAAGGCTAGCACAGACTACTACTGGGGACTGGCCCAGAGGGACTAGAAATGGTCTTGTTTTGTGGTACTGGAATCAAAATCAGTAGCTGCTGGCACAGAATAAACACTGAGGCCACCCATCCAGACACCCAAATAAATCTATCGCCTGCCTGTCTTAGTCCTTCCTAGACAGATGGTGATCATGGCCCACCCAAGGCCCTGAGGCTCATGGCACCTGGTCCCCAGTGCGATCATTTGAGTTTTGGTGCTATTCTGTTCCTATTTATACTTCTGTGCCTATTAAGTCAGGCATCCAGGTGGCAGTCAGGGGAGTAGCTAAGTCCAATCATTAAGGAAACTCAGCACAGCCAATTCAGGACTGACTGGGCCCTTAGAAGCTGTCGCTATGTAGCAGGTTTCCTAACCTTCATTTACTGCTTCCACACTCACAGCCCTTCCCTTCCGCTCCAAGCTCTGTGAGCATCTGGCATCTTGACTAGCTTGCTGCTTCCGAAGGCTCTTGGGGGGTTCATGCATTTTAGGCTTTGTGCACCCTGGGGACTGGACATTATTTCAAAGTGCTGTTCTTTAATGAATGTTCATGTATCTCTGGGGAAGAAAATGAACCCAATCATTCAGTGCAGTGTGTATACACATCACTGAAGTAGCACAGTGCAGTGGAAAGAGTCAGATAGACGTAGTTCTGAATCCCAGCTCCTAAACATAACTATGAAATCTGGGCCAGTTAATTAACCTCTCTGAGCTTCAGTTTCCATCTCTGTAAAAAGGAGCTGATATCTGCCTCATAGGGTGGTTGCGAGGGTCAAATGAAATAAAAGACAAAGAAAGCATGTTGCAAACTCTAAAGTACCATACAAATTCGGGAGAAAGATTTATTATGGTATTATCCAATCTCTCTGGTACTCTGTTTCCCCACCCTTCAAATGCAAGGATTACATTAAATCAGTGTTTCTTCTAACCTCATTAAACATGTTCTCCCTTTCAATTGACACTAGCATCTCATACTCCCCGGACATTGTAACATGCCTCTCTTCCCTGAAAGAAATGCCCCTTCCACCCATTTTCTGTGTAGATCTATCAGACAAGAAGAATTTAATTTTATATAGTTTTACCTTCTCTAATTTGTACTGTGAAAATGTTTATCAAACTACACATATCTCCATGGTGACTCTGATATAACCTCCATCCCCTACGAATCGTCACGCTAGGTGATGTCTCAAGTCCCTTTCAGCTCCCTCATGAGTGATTCTAAATGCAATTCGGGTGCAGCAACTGGTCTTGGTGCAAGCGATTACTCAGGACAGCCAGTAGAGGGCATGATGGAGTAGAGAATGGCCCTCTATGCCAAGGCTACCTCAGGGGCCTGGGAGGAGCTAGGCTGAGTGATTATTTGGAGGCTGGGCATGAAGGAGGGGAGAAACTCCTCTTTGGGAGAGAGCCTGCATTGATTCTTACCATTCTTGACTTGAATTGCTGACCCTTGGCCCTGTAGATGCACCACAGCTGGCTGGGAGGATAAGAAGGATGGAGAGTAGTCACTATGAGTCATAGCTGCTTGTTCAGCCACCAGTTCTCATGTTTCCACCCCTGGTTTCTAGTCTCCTTTTGTATCCCAATTTTGATCCCTCTCCCCTGTCTTGGGATGTTAGTGACTACATTTCTACTAGAGGGTCATATGATTTTGTAGCTCTACTATTTCCTAGCTACGTGACCTCAGCCAAATGTAATGCCTCTGAGCCTCATTTCCCTAACAGTAAACTGGGGATTATAAGAACCTCTGTCTGGCCTCTCTCACAGGGATTTTCGAAGATCAAATGAGGTGATGGATATAAAATTGTCCTGCAAGCCATCAAGCACTGTGCAGCTGTGTAGACTTATGGCTGTGGTCAAACAGCTGTAGTGAGGGAGGCTGAAATAAGACCAGCAAGGCAGGAGCACCTGCCAATAGAGGCAGATTAGGAAGCTCAAAGACTAGGGAGGAGCCCTTCAGGCCATTAAGGCAGAAGCCCAGGACAGAATTGGTCTGGAGTGAGTTGGCTATTTTTCAAGGGTATACTCTTAAACTTCTCAGCTCCAGATCCTAGGCAGTCTGAGTGCCAACAAGGTGTCTGGGATGGCTGGGGAGTTGGAGGCCCAGGTGAATAGGCCTAACTGGCAGCTCATTTCAGCTGACTACTGAGACTGTCTATGGGGACCCTCTGGTCTCCTGTGGAATGAGGAAAAATGGCCCTAGCAAGCCCTCGGGCAAAGCTTTTCTATTCATAGAGATGGGAGGGGACTGTGAGTGAAAAACCTCATAACCTCCAGGGTGTGTCCTCACAAAACAGAGCCTCAGGAAATTTAACAGGGAACTAATTTCAAGGTTTCTCCCACCTGTGGCCTTCCCTCCTCCCCAGGAAGACAGTAATCCCCAGCCAACCTGGTTTTCTCGAGTTCCAGCTTTATCAGCAGCACCTGCAAAATAGAACAAGGCAATCAGAGGGCACATTCTTTCTAATTCCGTTTCCCTTCACCTCAGGAGCCAGTGGCAGTGAGCCTTGCTCCCTACAGCCACTCCTGTCTGAGCTTTATTCTCCAGGGCTTAGAGCTGGAAGAAGACTCAGAGTGCAATGCAGGAATCTTGGGTGGGAGAGGATACCCTTTCCTTCTCTTTCCTGTCCCTGACTTTCATCTTCAGTGGGCCCAGCACCCAGCAGGGAAACTGGTCTCTTGCCAATACTGGCCCAAGGCAAGGCCCACTGAGCACCCATAGACAGTGCAAAAAGGACATTCTTGTCACTGTGACCCTTAGACAATGGCATTAGCTTGTCTAGCTTTTTGCTCCCTTTCTGTTGATTTTCTTCATAGAGCCCATTGCCATTTGTAAATATCTGGTTTCTTTGTCTCTCTCCTCCTCTAGGACATAAACTCTATGAGAATAGCGACCACTTATCATTATATCTCTTTGTACACAGAAAGTGCTCGATTAATATTTGTGGAATGATTGGATGAAAAAAATCCCTAACTCCATCTCTTGTGGCCATGGTAAGACTGCTTAGTACTGTTTGAATGACAAGAATCTGAGTCCTGCTGTAGAATACCTGGACCTAGAGAAATCAGCTGTAAGGAGTCCATTTCTTTAAAGCCTCAAGATACAGAAAGAGAGCAGAAGAAAGAAATAACAACTGACAGAAGCCCAGGCATCTGACTCCTGTCAACTCCAATTAGGCAGGTTTCAATCTGCATCCAAACCTTTTGGATGCCCTTCTGGGACCAAGGAGAAAGATGCAAAGAAAGGGATGAAATGGTATTTGAATGGGCAGTATAGTGGGGTACGGATTTAATGCAAAAAGCACCCGGTTCCTGGACAGGTTGGCCTTGGTGCCTGAATTTGCTTCATCCAGAGCCCGAATGACTCAAAGTTTACAACTTTTTGACCATCAGTCTACCTCTGTGGGAAAGGCATTTCAGAGTTCACAGGATAAAACTATCCTAGGGCTTGTTATTTTGTCCAGTTTCCAACATTCCCCCCTGTAGCCTATATCCATGCAAATATCAGCATGTGGAGCTAGATGCTGGCAATCAGAGCAGACCAAATCCACCCCCCAACAGCAACTCCCGTGAACCATCAGGGCCTCTGTGTCTGGCTTTTATGCGTTTACTGGCCCACTACAGGGAGGCCTAGAGTCAGGGAGGGCTTGTGATGGAAGGTTGAGACAGGTGGCACAAACATGAAGTTAGAGCAGGCCAGGCCTTATTGGCTTGTCCAATTCCTAGCTCTACCCTGGGCTAGGAGACCTGCATTTCTCATTGCATACCAGCCTAATCACCACCATTTGAAACTGCTCTCAGGATCATCTACTCCTGCTCTCCTAAAATACTTGTAAGACATCTAGGGGGTGGTGGGGAGACAGGGGAACTCACCAGAAGGTCCCTGGAGGCCAGGGGGTCCTTGAGGACCAGGAGGACCTGGAGGACCAGGTGGCCCCATAACAGTTGTTCCTGGAATTCCAGGAATCCCTGGAATCCCCGGAGGTCCCTGGGGTCCTGGAGGTCCTGGAGGTCCTGGAGGGCCATTGGGCCCAGGAGGCCCTGCCTTCTTTCCTGAAAAACAAGATTCAGTGTTACATTTGTTGTTATTTATTGCCAATAGTGTACTGTCAGGAGTGTATTGTCAGGAGTTTTGGAGACTTCCAATGACATAAAGTCAGCTCCTCTGGGAGTTCCTACTAAAGAGCTGAGTATATAGACACAGTTACAGGACAGTGGAGGTGCTACATTAGTGGTAGGGGCCAAATGCTGAAGAGCTAAGAGAAGTCTTGAAAAAGGAGATTACATTTCAGCTGAGTCCGAAGGATGAGAACTACCAGGCAATCAGACCTATGGGTCCCTGTGGTTCATTTTAGAATTGGGCTATTGTTGAAGAGTATGGGGCTTTCTTGTTTACTGTCCAGTTTGTGGGCTTGATGTGGAACAAAGAAGCTGCACAGCCTGACCTTAAGAACAACATTAGCTCTAGGAAGGTTTCTACAGGAGTCAGACTATACAGGAAATGGGGGTTGGGATGGGGGTGGTACTAGTTGGGAATGTGGAATGGGAAGAAGTTTTGGAGATGGGGTGTGGGGAGGGAGGGAGAGAGAGATCAAGAAACAACAGGAAAGAAGGGGGGGCAGAGAGTGGGGAAAGCTGAGGAGGAGGCAGCAGGTTTTGCTTTCCCAGCTGACCTCTCTAAACCCTGGTTTTAAAGATCTCTGGGAAAGGAAATTCTGCAAACTCCCTTGGTAACATGTTCTAATGTTTATCACCTCTCACTTCTCACTGTTAGGAAGTTCTTCGGTATATTTAACTGAAATCCCTCCTGTGGCAGTTTAAGCTCTTATTCTATTCTTTGTGTAGATAGAGAAGAATAGTTACCATCATATATATTATAACCCTCATATACTCAAAGACATTAAGTCACCTATCAACCTCCATTTTTATAAGCTAAATAATCCAGCTTCCCAGAGTCTTTCCTCAGAGGCTCTATTCTCAAATGTATTATTAATCATGCCCACCAACTCCTCCTCTTTTCCTTCTTGCTATCCTTCCAGAACAATCTTGGCCCTCCTATTTCATATTCCAGTCCCTCCAACATTCCCACAAAGATGTAGTTATGTTAAGTGAGTCATAATTGTGGTCTTGAAATAAAACCTCCAGCTCCTCCTGTTGGCTTCCTCTGCTCTGTGCAGCCCCCTCAAGGACTACAGGCAGTCATAGATGGGTGTCGTCTTCTCCCCTTCACCACCTTCTCACAATTTTGTAGAAGTCCCAGGAATGGAAGCCTTTTACCAGACTTCATCACAGTGTCTTCACCCGAGGTAATCTATTAGCGTAAAAACCTTCTTACTGTTTCCCTCTCCCTGCTCCCCATACTCTGAGGCAGGAGAATCCTGTCCTGATTTATTAGGTCCTCCTTTAATAAAAATGCCTCATGTCCAAGAAAATCCTCATGACAGTGCCACTCAAGAGGCCAGTTGTCCATGTCTAACCACATCTGCATTTGGAATGAAACAAGAGGGTCATTGTGGGCCTTTCCCCAGGGAGGAAAGAAGGGAAAGTTCAGAGACCATCTCTCCCCGGGAGAGTCACTGTAGCCTTAAAGACCAGGAGGCATGAGCCGCAGAGTTTTACCTTCATTTTAGCAGTAAAAGACTGGATCTGCCCAGTTTCTAGATCTAGCCAATTTCAAGATGCTGAACAGGAAAACCATCTCCCTTCAGATTTGGGCAGCTTCCAAATCAGGCTTATTCAGCGCCTAAGTTTCAATTCCAGTTAGTGTAGTGGAAAGAACACTGAATCTGTACTCAGGAGATAAGGATGTAAGCCCCAGCTTTGCCACAGACACACTTTGGGCAAATCCCTTTCTCTCCTTCAGCCTTAGTTTCTCCCTCCGTGAAACGAGGAGATTGGCCCTGATGATTTCTCAAAGTTTCCTCATGAGACTGAAATTCCATAAGGAGGACTGACTTACCCCAGGTAGTCAGGAAACTTCCCTACCCTTGCTGTAAGGTTTGTTTCTTCCTCCTTATTTTCTACATGCCATAGACACAGAGGATGGTGCATATTAGGCTGTTCTATGCCCTAGCATTTCCAGGCCTAACAGTGATTTTTGAGCTAGAGGCTATTCTGTGGGTAGCACAAACTTCAGCTTCAACAATGTTAGTCTCCTATAATTGCTAATGTAATTTTGGAAGAATTACAGCCAGAAACTCTTACAGTCCAAGAGAATAATGGTTGCAGTATAAACAGAGAATGTTCACTTATGAAAATGTTAGAAGGCATTTGAGAAAAAGCTCCTTCTGTGATCTAGTTCTGCAGTGCATCCTCTTTGCTGCTCTGCGACCAGGTTTAGACAGGTGTGTTTCGCATACTTACAGAAAGTTGGGCCCAGAGAAAAGCATGTACAAAACCCTGGACCAAGAGGATGAGTTTAGAGGATTGAATTCCTTCTCTGGATTTCCTTATTTTAACAGAGAACTTCATAATACAAAAGCCCAGAAACGTCTGTACTTAGAAACTTACCCTGTGTAGTCTTAGATGAAAGAATATACATATTCCTTTTAAAGCTAAACTTCATGGAAGGGGCATTTCCCTAACCTTTTAGCTAAGCCCAAAATGTTGAAAGAACAACCAAGAGAGAATGAGTGAAAGTGAGAGAGGGAGAGAGTTAAGAGGGGGAGGGAGAAAGGGAGAGGAAGACAGGGAAAGAGGGGGAGGGAGAGAGTGTTGTGGTAAGAGGAAAATTCCATTAAAGGGTGAAAATTAAGTGAACAACTCAATTTACTTCTTCAGGCATGTGCCTATTCACTGTGTCCAAGGAAATCCATATTAAATGGCTACTAAATCACTTTCAGCCAAAATAAATGTTTAAGGCATTCTCTTCCCAATAATGCCCTGTACACAAGGTAGCAGTGCTGGGCAATGATCCGAGTTATAATTTCTGTCTTAAAGGGATGTGACAAGAGTTACACTTGAAAATCAAATTTACTTTCTTAAAAGACAGAATATCTTGGTGATGAATGTCCAGACCCCGCCAGAGAAAGGTTTTCTTGCTGACTCCAGCTCTCTGGCTGTTTTCCAACCTTGCTCAGCTCAGGCCCTCAGGAGGCCAGGCCATTCCTCAGCCTTTGTGTGTGTGTCTGTTTTTTTATTGGTTATGAATATTCATGAGATACAAAGCTGATTGTCACCCCTCGTGCCCATGATGTGAGGGCCAGATTCATACTGGTAGCATGCCCATTACCACAAATTGCATTTGTACCCTGTGTCCCCCACCCAATTATCCCCAACCTCCCTCCTCCTCCCCCTTTCTCCCCACTCCACTTTGTAGCTCAAGAAATGTTCTCTCCCTCTGCAAGTCCACCGCACTACTGTGGTCTTTCTTTCCTTCCTTCTTTCTCTCTCAGTTCCCACATGAGTGAGCACATGCATATTTATCCCTCTGTGCTTTACCTCAGCTTCTTTACAACAGGGACACAAGTTTTCCATGTGGACCATGGTACCTCAAGGCACCAAAGTACCCTAGTGCTCAGAGAAGTGGCAGGCTGCAGGTGAAGCCAGTCTTTTTGGCCTGTTCTGGGGTTGATAATCTGCTCTATAAAGCTCCATAAATCTTAACAGACAGAACCATTTCACTTAAAGCACTTTAATGAAAAATCATTAATTTTACTCTCTCTATTTTCTTCCCATGTCAGACCCAGAAATAAATAGGTACTTCAACTGGTTTCACAGTTGGTCCTTTTAGTCATAAGGAGTGGACTATATTGCCCGGTCCTCACCTTGGAGCCTGTTCTGTCTTTGGATTCTCCTCCCCAAGTGAGCAAGCATTTGTACAGGTCCTTGGGCCAGTCTCATCGTAAGTACACTGGGGACTTACTGACTTAATAATGGCACAGTGAAACTGCCCAACTAGAGTCTTCTCTGAAAAGCCTAAAGGCCAGCCTAGTTTTTCCATCACAGAGAAAATGATATTGAATCCCCCCCCCAAAAAAAAACCCGAAACATAAACCTTCCCTGACTGTCTGGGAAATCAAATAGAGATAGATTTTAGACCAAGAAATAGGGTACTGATGACATTTTTTGATAGGTAGTATGCCTAGTTCCTATAAGCTGTCTCAGGACCTCATTCATACCTCATCACTGATTTGATAAAGAAGGGAAAAAAGGAGAAAAAAGAAGGGCAGGGAACGAGTAAGAAAGAATGAAGGAAAGAGACGTAAATTGAATTGTACAGAAGAGGGAACAAGAAACAAAATCAACTTTTATATGTTGCTGGAGAAGCAATTTCTTTTTTCTTTTCTTTTTTTTTAGTTATATGTGTCCAGGAATTTATTTATTTCTTCTAGGCTTTCCAGTTTGTTTGTGTATAGTTATTCGTTACAGACTCTTATGATCCTTTGTGTTTCTGTGATATCAGTTGTAATATCTCCTTTTTCATTTCTGATTCTTTTCTTTACTTTTATTTTTTATTTATTAAGAATATTCATGAGTTACAAAACTTGTGCCCATGATGTGAAGGCCAGATTCATACTAGGAGCATACCCATTACCAGAAATTACTTTTGTGCCCCGTGTCCCCCACCCAATTATCCCCCCACCTCTCTCCCCCTTCTCTTCTCCCCCCCACTCCACTTTGCAGGCCTAGGAATGTTCCCTCCCTCTGTAAGACCACCGCACTACTGTGGTCTTTCTTTCCTGCCTTCCTTTCTCTCTTAGCTCCCACATATGAGTGAACACATGCCGTATTTATCCCTCTGTGCTTTGCTTATTTCACTCAACATAAGTTTCTCCAGGTTCATCCATGTTGTTGCGAATGGGAGTATTTCATTCTTTTTTATGGCAGAGTTCTTTAGAAACTACAATACTCAAGAAGATCACATGTTATTGAATAAAATAATGGGCTACCAATATGGAAAGAATATAATGCAAAAATAAATGGAATCTACTCTCCCTTGATTCTTCTAATTAGAGAAAAGACATCACATAACAGCAATTTTATAAAATCAGGAACTTAACTTACCCTTTTTCTTGTTTTTAACTGGACCTATTAGAAAAAGAAAATGGAAAGCTAAGTCAATGGAAATTAACAGAAAATGTTTTTTCTCTAAGACAGTCCCCAGTAAGGACCCCCAAGACACTGCAAATTTGAGGGAGCCCCACAGCCAAGGGTTAGGTTTTTGACAGGGTATCTCCTGACTATCGAACCTCCCCAGTCTGTTTTCTGACTGCTGAGGCCACAAAAGTTAAAAACATGATTCTTCCCTAGGGAGAAAAATATTTCAGCCTCAGTCTTTGGGGTCAGGGAATGGGTACTTCTCCATAGCGATCAAATGCCCAGAAACGCACAGCTCAACAACCTTAGGACGGCATTCCATGAATTCTGCAAGTCCTGAGGTTGAAGAGTCGTGCATTCAGGTGAGTATCCGATATGAAGTTTCATGTGTTGAAGCTGAAAGGAAAAAAGGGTTGTTTCCATGGGAGAAGCACAGCAGTGGCAATTTATTTTTTAGTCACTTCCTTATCATGATTTAATTTGTTAATTATTAAAACAGTGCGACCATAATACACTCATGTGGGGGCCACATGCACTCCCATTGTAATTTACCATAAGTTAATGAACACTTTAAAAGAAGTGTCAACAGTTCATCGGCAGTGAAATCACAAGCATTTTCTTGGGAATTACTTCTAAGGAAAACAATTCTAATCAATTGAGGGCACTCAGAAAACCCAAGTCTTTTCTAATATAGTTAAATGACAACCACTCCCCAGACACACACAGTTTAGGTCTCTTCCAGATAGTCATCTTTTCCCTCCAAGGGATTCAATTCTCTTCATTCTGTGGATGGATCTGACTTTCTTGAGAAACACGTATTTAAAATCTGTTCCAAACTCTCATGATGACACTACTGTACAACATTAAACTACTGTCACTGCACTCAGGAGCTTACAAAAAAAACACCAGGCATTTGTAAATTATTTTATAGTTTATAAAACATACTTGCATCTATTTTTTCATTTGATCCTTGCAACAAGCCTGGAATAATCTCTACATATAAGAGCAGGCTCTATTAGAGGTCAGTAAAGCCTCCAACCTGGAGGGCTGCCAGTGTGGCCATCGGAGCTTAGACAGGTCCCTTGAAAAACCAATGTCTGTGTAGACTTCCTTGGCAAAGTAATTTCATGTGCAACAGTAGGTATTATTATGCACAGGGGAAGTTTTAGGTTGGGTTGAGCAACCTGCTGCACTTAAGGCCACGAATCTCCATTCTCTTAAGCTCCTTTTTTCTCCTTTCCTCTCCTGCCATTCCTTTGTCTTCCTTCCTTGCTACCTATCCTTTATGTTTTTTAACAGCACTGAGAGTTCTTGGGAATGTGCATGGAGGTTCCGGCAGGGAAGCACAGCTACACAGATACTACTGACTAAGAGGCAGCACCTCAACCCGAGAAGGGCCTCCTCTTTGAACACAAAAGCTGTTTGAGGGAGGATTTACACAGAAATGGAACAGTCCCACCGGCCAGCTACCAGCCAGCCAGTCAGCCACCTCAGCCTGAGAGAGAGCAGTAGGATGACAGCTATTGCAACCATGCTGCCCTCATAGTCAACGTGTGCTAGCCCTGGCCAAGTTTTTGAACATTTCAATTGGTTAAGTGTTAGCGCTGTTAAGTCAGACTTCAAAGGAAGCTTTGAAGGAATCAGGCCATTGCCAGCCAACCAGTCCTTACTGAGCACACCCATGGAAGGTAGCATAGTAAATAATGAAACACAACTCTATCCTCAAAGACTTACAGTTGGATGGGAAGATACTAAAGAGGGGGAACTTCAGGAGCTATACTGGCTAGTTGAGGGGGAAAAAAATTCCTGGAGGAAGTTTGAATAAAATCCTCAAGTGAAAAGAGAGAAAGGGAAGTTTTTTATTTTTTTAAACTTCTGTTATTTTTATACCAGATATACCTACTCATTACACACACATAAATGCATGCATACATATATACATAAAAAAGATGAGCAAAAAGAAAAATAGCTTATTAAAGTACCCACAATAACCACTATTAACATTTTCATGCATACCTAGAAATCTTGTATGCATATAAATGTATTTTTACAAAATGGGATCAAATTAAAAATATTGTATGATAAACTTTTTCTATGCCAATAACTACATTTCTACATTGTCATTTTTAATATGGATGCACCAACATTTAACAAAGTGCAAATGAGTATATCATCTCAGCAGTATAGGAGTTCCTTCTCATTCTAACATAGCTCACCATGACCAGTAAATAATTCTTATGAGCTACAACATGAACCTGTAAGCCCTGACTCTGTATTTGTCATGCCCATTGCTTTTACTTGAGACCATTGTAGTTTTCCAGCTTCTAGAGTGAAAATGCCAAGGACCTAGAGCTATACCGCACTAGAAGTGAGTATCCTAACCCAGAGCAAAAGCAGTAACCCCTGCTGAGTTCTATAACCTTTTAGATATATTGATTTATTTTCTCTATATGCTTAAGAACCTTATTTGTACCTACTTAGAGCATTATCACTGTCACATGTCTGTTTCTATGGTAATAAGCTACATTTCTACATCACTCCATTTCCCCCTATTTTCAACCATCATGCTTTCTGCAGGCAAAATGCACAAATGCATCATAGTGGGACAGATAGCTGTGTAGCACCTGGGACTGCTTTGATAAGAACAGAATTGAGATAGGACAGATTTTGATCAACGCTGGCAGGCAGTTTGCCTATGTGACATTTAGAAAAGGGAGTCTTGTAATAGAATCAGGGCCATGGAGGCCAGCAACAGGCCTAGCCAGATTCTAGTCCTGAGTTAACCACAAAATTACCATAGGGCAAGTGACGTTTCTTCTGATTCTTCATTTGCTAAATCAGAGAACACTACATACTTTGTCCGTATTCAAAGCTTAGCGTTCTGATGAGGATCAATGATATAAAACCAGCAAGCGAGAATTCTGTATCCAGAGAAATTATTCGTCAAAAGTGAATAAAAAATAAAGACTTTCTTACTTTTTTTCTTTTTCTTTTTGGCAGCTAGCCAGTATGGGGATCCAAACCCTTGACCTTGATGCAACTAACCAGCCAGCTAAAGATTTTCTAAGACAAACAAAAACTAAGGGAATTTGTTGTCCATAAACCTGCCTTGAAATAAATGTTGACAGAATTTCTTCAGAGAGAAGTAAAATGATATAGGTCAGAAACTCAGATGTACATAAAGAAAAGAAGTGCATTAGAGAACAAATAAATGAAGGTAAAAAAATCATTTTATTTTTTCTTAATTGATATAACAGATAACAGTTTGTTCAAAATAATAATAGCAAAAATATATTCCATGATTATAGCTTATGGATATGTGGAACAAATGACAGAAATGTTATAAGGGATAGAAGGAATAAATTGGAAATACTCTGCTATAAGGTACTTGCACTACCTGTAAAGTGGTATAGTGTTTTTTTTCTGTTTTTTTTTTACTGGTAAGGGGATCGCAACTCTCGACACAGTGTCATCCACACCAGGCTCAACCAGTGAGCACACGGCCATACCTATATAGGATCCAAACCCGCAGCCTCAGCGCTACCAGCGCCACACTCTCCCGAGTGAGCCACGGGGCTGGCCCAGTATAGTGTTATTTTAAAGTGGACTTGGATTGCTTGTAAATATATATTTAAAACTGTAGGGCAACCACTAAACTTTTTTTTTTGAAGAAATATAATTGATATGCTAAGAGAGGAGAGAAAATGGAATCATAAAATGCTTGACTGAAACCAGAGAAAAGGAAAAGGGCAGTGAATAGCAAGCAATTACAAATATGGTAGATATTAATCCAACTATATCAATAATCACTTTAAATACGAATGCTGTAAATACACTAGTTAAAGACAAAGAGTGTCAGAGTGGATAAAAAAAATGACCCAACTATATTTTGTCTATAAGAAACCCACTTTAAATATAAAGACACAGGTAGATTAAAGTAAAGGGATGGAGAAAGGTAAATCGTAATAATACTGGTCAAAAGAAAGCTGGAGAGCTATATTAATTTCAGAAAAAATAGACATCAGAGAAAGGAAAATGATCAGGAATAAAGAGAGGCATTACACGATCATAAAGGAGGTCAGTAATCCAGGAAGACATAAAAATCCTTAATGTGTATGCCTCTGACAACAGAGCATCAAAATACATAAGGCAAAAACTAATAGAACTGCTAGAAGAAATAGATGAATCCACTACTATAACTGAAGACTTCAATATGCCTTCAGTAATTGCCAGATCCAGCAGGCAGAAAATCAGTGAGGATATAGTTAAGATAAATAGTATCATCATACTACCTGACTTCAAATTTTACTATAAAGCTTTAGTAGGCAAAGCAGCATGGTACTTGCATAAAAAAAAGACACTCAGACCTATGGAACAGAAGAGAAAACCCAGAAATCAATGCATTCATTTACAGCCAACTGTTCTTTGACAAAGGCATCAAGAACACACATCAGAGAAAAGACTGCCTCTTCAATAAATGGTGCTGGGAAAACTGGACATACATATGTAGAAGAATGAAACTAGAGCCTTACTTCACACCATATACCAAAATCAACTCAAAATGGAATCAGACTTAAATGTAAGACCTGAAACTATACAAACCCTAAAAGAAAACATAGGGGAAACACTTCAGGAAGCAGAACTGGGCAAAGACTTTATGAATAAGACCCCAAAAGCACAGGCAACAACAACAACAAATAAATAAATGGGATTATACCAAACTCCAAAGCTTTTGTACAGCAAAAGAAACAATTAACAGAGTGAAAAGACAACCTACTGAATGGGAGAAAGTACTTACAAACTATGCATCTGACAAGGGATTAATATCCAGAATATACAAGGAATTCAAACAACATAACAGTAAAAAAAAAAAAGTAATCCAATTAAAAAATGGGCAAAGGAGCTGAATAGGCATTTCTCAAAGGAAGGTATACAAATGGCCAACAGACACATGAAAAAAATGCTGATCATCACTAATCATCAGA